GGGGCTGCACGTTTGCAAGTGGTACTGGGGCATTACACATCACTGAAGGAAACATGAACAGGGTGATGTAACAGGAAATATCAGGGAAGAATTTAATCTCATCTGCCAAGAAACTGAACCTAGGGAGTAGATGAGCGTGTCAACAAGACAGACACCAAAAATACAGCCAAAATAATTCAAGACTGGTTTGCAAAGAGGAATAGACCAAAATTGAACTTGAACTTTGAAGCTGAAACTGCCAAAAATGGTTTTGCAAAGTACCAAAGTTTATTAATATTTTCTATGTAAATACATTTTCCTATCAGGTTCATTTTTAAACGTATCTTTGTTTATGCTAATGAGTACATACTTTTATGTTCATATTTGTAGGTACAAAGTCAAAAGACATGATGTGTGAAAATTTGAATTGGGTATTTGCACTGGAAGTATATTAAATAACAAAACCAAAAGTGTTTGAATACTAGTCTCCCCTCACTGTATGTGTGATGAGCTTTGGATTAAAATGAAAGTTTGTTTCATTGTTTTCAAAACTATATAACTCTGTATAACTCTGAAATTCTATGGAATCAGTTGTGAAGTAGCTGTGTGTAAGGAATCCATCTGGCATGTACAAAACAGAATTAAAGATACACTATACGGGTCTACTGTTTTCACCATTTATATCAGTCACAAACTACTTTAGAAGGCAGAAATAATTTTGAATTATAACGTGTTCTTAAAACCAGCTGTTTTCTTACAGCTTGCATATTTCATTGTGGTTTTTCTAAGTGTCTAAAGTGCAGGGAGATAGCATTTCAAAGTTAAAAGAAATACTTCAGCATTTTTAACCTAATCTCTGCCTGCCGCACCTGTAGCATACAGTTACTAACAACGTACAATAATGTCGCTGTACTTAGAAAAGAACAAACTACTGATTTGAAACTGCTGCTTCAGTACCTGCCTGTTAGCTTCTATTATAAATGTGTGTAGAGTCAATATTTTTTGCCTTTTACTAAATACAGGAAAACATGAAGTCACTGTCTATTGTAATTGATGGTATGTCACAGAAGTGGCAAATAAAGTTTAGGCGGAAAAACACTGGAATATTCCTTTAAGTCATAGAAAATAGGATAGTCCAGAAATGGAACGCAACCAATTTTATCTGGCCTGTAGACTTTTTTACTTTGTCAGTGACGGAGCCACACACTGAATTAATTCTTTATACTTATCTTCCTCCTCCAGGAAGCTCATATCTCAAAACGTGTCCATTTTTACTTATTATATGCATATTATAAGAATATGTATAGAAATATCATCCCTAAGAGCATGTGATGTTAAATCACTTTTCGCTCCTCCTCAAAACCTGCCTTTTGGAAGATTCAGGCTTTCTGCCAGAGCGATTGTCTCTGCAGCAAGTTGTGCAGCAGCATTTGCTATGGGACTCATTTCATGTGCTTTACATTTGGTAATGCGCTTTTAACACCTGTCGCTATGTATGATCCATTAACTAAGAATTATCCTACAGAAAGTTGTCCTACTTTGGTGGGAAATGTCATACGACCTTAGGAGATGCATCAAAAACCCAAGTGGGAAAATACCTGTACAAATATCTAAAATTCTAAAAACTATATGCAGCCTTCATCTGTTCCCAGCTCTGTTTTGATTCTCTTCTTACAAATAACAAGAGCATATCGCTGTTGTCGGAAGAAAACCTCATATCTCCAAAATGGTAACTTTACAGGAAAAAAGAAAAAAACCTACTTTACTTTTAATGTAAGTCAATGGAACCAGACTTTTATTCCAAGTAATTTTGGGTCAGTTCTTTTAGTCCATTCTTTATGAAATTTACACACAATGTAAAAGGCAACAGGTATTTTCATATTATGTCAAAAACTGAAAAACGACAAAAATGGAGATACAAGGTTTTCTTCCGACAATAGCGATATGCATAACAGAAGTAGGACTAGACATAGTTTAAAACATATCTAGCCTTTAAATGGTCTGCACTGATCTCAATCTAATAAACTATAACAGAACAAACATTACATTTCATGAAATCTCTGAATGATTGAAGTCCATCTATCAGTATTGCTTTGACTCATCCCATTTGACTAAGAGAATATTTAAGAGATTAACCTTTCACGTCAGTGCTGTTTTTAACATGCCCTCTCTGACTTCACCTTATGATGCACGTAGCAATGGAGGTGGGTAGAGTTGCCTAAATTAAAATATTTAAGTAAAAGTATTGTTACTTAAACAAAATAATAACTTGAGTAAACACAAAAGTATATTTCCAAAAAACAAGCAGAAGTACAAAAGTACCAGGTAAAGACTACTTAATCACTGATGTTCTTAGTACATGCAGCATCTATCAGTGTAGGAACTGAAGAAGGCTCTGTCTTCTGTATTTGATGCACTCTTGATACAAAATAAACTGATAAACCAAAAAATCGCAATTGCAAAGCAGTACGGATGCTTTCAGCAATGTAACTTACTGAAATTACCACAAAAAGGGACTGAATGTTACCCTCTAAACAGACTAAATTAGCATTATGCTAACAAGTAATATGAGTTTTCTTCACTAACATACTTGAATAGACATAAAGGTATTATCATCTGAAAACAGTGCACACATTAAAATTGAACTTGTACATGTAACTAAGTAAAAGTAACTATTTAGGCCTCCTACCCACCTCTGCATAGCACCTACATTAAGTGACCACTCGCTGTACAAGAAGAGGAGGAGGCAACGAGGAGACAGATTCCTGTAGAGCGCTTGACTTCAGCTTGGCTAGCCTCGGTGAGCTAGCTAATTAGCTAGTTAATCAGAATAGCAAACTGTTTTTGAGAGGGGTGAGCTTAACTTACATGAACTTAGTGAATAATTGCTCTGTTTCACTTAAGCTTCATGTTTAAAATGAGAACTGTATCCTAGTGTGTTGCCCCTCTTTGTTGTTGCTAGCTGTGTAGTACTTAGCTTGCTAACTAGCAAGCTAATAGGGTAAACTAGTTCAACTAGCCTTTCTTCAGCCGTCATATGTAACAGATAGGGTAGTTTATAGTTTTGAAAAATGTAAATTACTGCTTATTACTCTAACATATAAGCAGGTTTGTCTGCCATGTTTTCACAAATGAAAAGGAAATTTATGTCAGATGACAATATCTGGGCAAGTTTTGCTACTGAAGTCAACATTCACGTTCCCTCGTCCCTCTAAATGGTCATCTAGCAGTCTTCGCTTCAGCTAATACAAGATCTCAGTAAAGGGCAAAATGGTGAAGCTAATGAAACAAGGGCATGTTAAAAACAGTCAAGAAGTACTAGTAGTCACTAAAAGGAGTAAATAAAAGGAAACACAGCTACTTTACTGGGATAAGCTTAGAAAGAAAGGAAGACTTTGTGAGTTTGTAAAAATAAGAGGAGAGTTTTTGAGAAGGAAAGGTTATCAGCTAGTAAGACAATCTACTGTATAATCAGCCAGCATGTCACTAAATTACTATAATCCAGTTTCCAAGGCTATGAGGTGCTTTCCTAAATAGATTACTTGATTTATGCATGTTAAGGATTTGGTAGATGAATATGGGGGGCCTGGTAAATGTCTTTCTCTCCTCTCTTCTCCATTACCCTCTCTACTGGGGAACGAGGCTGACCGTAATCTATCTCCGTGAAACGTTTAATTTATTAAAATTATCTTACATAATGCCTTCTTTATTTAATCAGGCATGCTCGTTTTCTCCCACCGAGCCAAGAGATGGATGGGGTGAGTGGGTGAACACGCTCTTCTCATTTATTCCTCCTTTGTCTCACTCTCTCCCCGTAACACCTCCCTCCCTTCCTGGCCTTTGTCTGATTTTTTTTTAAGAGAATGAGGTATTCAGGAGATCATCATGCTCAGTAATAATAGCTGCAATAGTTTGGATTGTAGGAGGCTGTTGTGTATTACTTGAGCTTAATTGTGTTTGAACATGTGTTGGTGATAACCTACACTCTTATAAATAAAGGTGCCAAAGCGTTCTTTGAAACGATGCCCTAGAAGAACCCCTAAAAACCTTCCATTGGGTGTTTTTTTAAAGGCATACTCCAGCATTTTTCAACATGAACACCAGGGCCAATTATTTAGACATTTCCCTGTACTTGGAAAAGGAACAGAAAACAGGTACAGGGAAAAGCATTGAATAAAAGAACTAAATGTGGTTCTTCTATGGCGTCTCTCCTATTGGCATCTTTATTTTTCAGAGTAGTAAAGGTCAAGCAGTGCACATTTTTATTGCACATCCCTTCAGCCCAACATCTGAGGTGATTTGTTCAAATGCTGCCCCCCGTTGTTCTGGATTAACCTTGAGCATTAGCCATAGCAAGCTTTAAGCATTTGATCATCACCCTCGCCACTCAAAAGTAGATTAACACTTAGTATTGCACCATGCCCTTTAGCATTAGCAAGCCTTTAAACAATGAGGCCTGCTCAGTGTATCAAAGGCCTATTCAATATCTGTCCCAATACAGGAATCATGCAACAATAGGGATAATTATAACCAAGACTGAATTGATTTGAGTTTCAGAAGTTAGTTTTTTGTTTCCCTGCTGTAGTCAGATTATGTTGCTAGTTGCCAGCAGTGTTTGTGTTAGCAGCCTTCAGTCAAGGTTGGAGCTACAGCACATTCATCACAATGCAACAGATATAAAATAATAGGAAATTTATAATAATACGATTTGTGCTATAACACAATATGGGTGCTTTTACCCAGCCCTAGTTAGTGGCAACCTAATTTCAACACCATTTTTCTCTTAGCTCTGACTATCTCTGTGCTTGTACCGTACATGTTCTGCTGTGCAAGAGAGTGCATCCTGAGCATGAATGATTGTGTGGGTTGTTGGCTGTGTCCTCTGTATAGAAGTAAATAGCCACTGTGTTTCTGGAAATAAATGAAAAAAATAAGATGACTGTTTCAAAAAGAAGTGTTTTTGCGCACACACACAGATTAATCTACACACTTTTATATAAGATACTTAGTTGCCTAACTATCTGCTAACCTGGGTGCCACCTTGTTCACTGTAAGTTAACAGATATTCAGTGTTTCCCTTTGATAATATGAGTGCTGCTGTTGACCTTTTCAAATGAGCCGTGCCTAAAGAATCCTGTTTGACAGATCCTGTTTACCAAAAAGCACTCTAGGGTTAAGAAAACCCAAAATGTCGGAGAGTGTTTTTATGATATATGCTATGACATTAAACAAACAAAAATAGCTCTGAGCAGGGGTCTCAAACTCAAATTACCTTGGAGGCACAGGCTAGCTGGTCTCCTCCAAGAGGCCTGGGAAAAAGTTTCCCATGTAGTTGAATGTTAACTGTTTATTTTTAAACGTTTTCTTTTTATCTAACATGTTACCCTTATGTTGTAAACTAAACTATTTAGTTATGTCTAACCTATACTAGTTATATCTAAATTGCACCCATACCTGCTTAGTGTCAGGTTTTCGTTTGAATGTTTCCTTTTGCAAGGAGTACTATATTTACTTTTCACAACGTGAACATAAACATATGCTGATCTTGTTGGTTGATGTCTTCCCATCGAATGTAAAACTTGTGGACAGATTTAAGGATGTGGCAGGCCATATAAAGCTGGCTGTAATTTGAGACCCCTGACTGAGTATTTTCACCATATGTTAAAGACTAACCGCTGAGTTAGGCTAAGTTATACAAAACACATAGAATGGCTTATATTTATTGCTGCAGGTTACACCAAAGTGGATTGTGATCTATTAATGAGTATGATGCTGATGAATGCTTGACTTGAGAGTATAGAGATTCTACCAAAGCAAGAGACTATAGCCTAAAAGTAAGTCTCAGACCAAGTTTAGCACCCAGGTTAGCTCAATATTGCATTATGATATCACTTAAAGCTATCACTTCAAACTACAATATGAAACAAATACTCCTATTTCAAGTTTTCCTACAGGAAGGCCATCCAGTCACAACAGTCATGGACATAGCTTGCCTGCCCTTGACTACAGCATTGCACTACGTCATAAGGGTCAAACGTTCATATGGCACTTGCTTTGCTGTGCGTCTTTCCATCATAGCCAAAACTAAAGGGACAGGCTGGATCTACTTTAAAAGAAAGTCTCTAGAGGTGAAGGTCAAAGGTATCTGAGATCATATTTCTGACTCTCTATGATATGGTCTCTGGTCAATGTTGAGGTTAGTTGATAGGGTTTCCATCTCAGCTCCCCTTTCCCCCCTCCTGTCTTCTTGCTCCTCTTCTTCCCTGCTAATGAAGGCCAGCTCGTTCTCATAGCAGAAGTTAGCACTGGACCGCAAAGACTTGCTCTCCTCAATGTCTTTGGCACTGCAGCATGGTGTGGAGGGCACCTCATAAGTCTTGTGGAAGTGCGTGAAGTCTACCTTGTAGTGGTTCTTCTCCTCAAACACCACTGGCTCAAAGCGATGGCCCCATAAGATTTCGCTGGCCAAGTAAGAGCTGCGCACCTGAGCTGTCATCGCTGTGGCTTCAACCATGCCCTCTAGGATCACCACAATCTCAAAGTCCGCATTGTCCAGATCCTGCTTGCTGATTCCAAAAAGAGGGCTTTCCTCATTGATCTCATGGATGATGGTCAGGGGTGAGACAAGGAAGATACGGTCCAGGCCTTGGTCGTACCCTACATTGATGTCAATCTGGTCAAGAGGAATATACTCGCCCTCTTCTGTCACCCTTGGCTTGATCAACTGTGCTCGCACATGGGCTTCCACTATGTGGCTTTTCCGCAAGTTCCCTACTCGCCACATCAAGCACAGCTTGCCATCCCGCATGGCAATCACGGCATTGTGGGAGAACAGCAAGGTCTCTGCACGTTTCTTGGGTCGTGCCATTTTGGCCATGATGGCGCCAATCATAAAGGAGTCAATGATGCAGCCCAAAATGGACTGCACGACCACCATGAACACGGCCATCGGGCACTCTTCCGTCACACAGCGGAAGCCGTAGCCAATCGTGGTCTGTGTCTCAACCGAGAACAGGAAGGCCGCAACGAAGCTGTTGACCTGCATGACACAGGGCGTGAAGTCATCCCCAGAAGTTCTGTCCATGTCGCCGTGCATGAGGGCAATTACCCAGAAGATGAACCCAAATGCCAACCAGGAGATAATGAACGCAAGGGAGAAGAGGACAAACATCCAGCGCCAGCGAATGTCCACACAGGTGGTGAAGATGTCAGCCAGGTAGCGCTGTGACTGCTCTTCCATGTGAGCGAAGCTAACGTTGCACTGGCCAGTCTTGTTGACAAAGCGGCTGCGTGCCTTCCGCCGTGTCTGGATCTTGCCGTTTCCAAAGCCATTCCCAAGGGCGGGCATGTTGCCGTGGCGATGGACGTCCTCCTCCGACGATGACACAACACTGTACCTGTGGGACTTGCCCACACTCATGCCACTCTGCTCGATCAGGACAAACCAATGGATGGAATGCCAGGCCTCCCTGTCTCTTCACCAATCACTGCACAGGACACAGGGACCTGAGACAGAGTGAAAGATAAGGTCAGTCCTCTGACATCTTATAAATATCTTATAAATATTTGACTTATTACACTTAGCTAAAGTGCTTGTAGTCATTTTGGGAAAGAGGCAGAAACAACTGCATTTAGCAGTTCAGTGAACACAGCCATCACTGAAGGTATGACTGTTAACCTCTCATCTTGATTAGGGCTTTCACGATTATTTGGCTAAACTTAGTTTAACTATGATTCAAAAATAATCAATTAAAAAATAACTTTTTGATGAATCAAAGAACTAGTATGCAATTTTAATGTAAATAACATGTATTTTAAGTTTTCTTACTTGTCTCTTTTGCAGAAAGAGTCAGCGCTTGATTGACACACTCATTTCTGAGTCTTCTTTGTTTATCTATTTCCAAAGAAGTTCTTTGAAATCTTTTAAATGCTATACATAGTTTGTTATTGTTCAAAATGTCTATTTTTATTGAATGACCTTTTTAATTAAGTTATTATATCATCAGCCAATTAGAAGATTTCTCGATTACTAACATTATCGATCACAACAATCTTAATTTTGATTTGAGTATAGGTACCCAGGGGTGCCCAGACTTTTATCTTGGGGTCAAAGGACAATGTTTTGTGCTGGGCAGAAACCAAAAAGACAAAACAGAATAAAAATAAAGATGAGTAGATTTCAAATCAAGTTTTTAAAAGTGTATTTTATAACATTACACTATATTGTGTTGCTAAAATACTTCAAAAATGCCATTTTAAAAGGAAAATAAGAGTAATATAGGGTACTGTCAGTACAAGTCAGTAAAAGTCAGGCACTACCCTTTATTTCTTTAATTTCTTGTCAAAATAGCCATTGGGAAAAGTTTTCATCTTTTAGCATCTTTTAGCAAAGCAGAAAACATATTTAACAGAAAAATACACAGAACCCTCACCAACTAAATGTAATATATATTTTTTCATTATTTAGTGTGTCCACTCTATTCTTTTTATGAGACTTTTTCAAAGAAATCTGCAGGGATATTTTTCTATACTTCCAAAGTTTAGTCATAAAAGTTGCTTGCATTTTCTGCTTCTCACAATCAAAATAATACAAAACACTTTCAGTGAGTTGAGTTGTCTGTTGAGTTCTCTTCTCACAGTGAAACGGTAGACAGAAACACTTGCAGATTTTCTTAGATAAGAAGCAAGAGTGGAGCTTGATTCTGTCCTCTCTCTCAAAGATGAAAGCTCTAAGTAGTGTTTATCTCTGATGGTTACAGTTTTGTTGGTCTACCAGGTCTTGCACAGTTGGAATGAGTCCTATTTTCTCTATATCTGAACTCCAGTTTTGGAAACTTCTAATTATTCAAATATTTTCCTTTGACTTTCCCTTTCTTATGCAAATGGATAATCTAATATCTAGTCAGAATTATGACTTGTTCTTAATACTGACTACTGAATATTGTACTTGACTGGACATGACTGACTTGTGCACAGTACTGTATAGTAAAAAAAAATGGTGTGTTCTTTCACTGAATGAGGGGGTGGTGTTAGGGTACCTTTCTGGGAGCCAAACCAAATGTCCTCATGGGCCAACTTTGGCCTGCAGGCCACACTTTGGACAGCACTGTCACAGATAAATGCTTATACATAGCAGACTAGAGTAATTTCTTGTGCAGTGATTCATTAAATTGTCTTGACTGCTGTATATTTTTACCATCCTTTATTGGGAAAACCAAACCACCCTAGGACAAAAATGGAAATCTGGCAGCTGATGCAGTGCCGTGTTATATATGTAGTGATGAAGGCAGATTTAGTGAAGTGTTAGTGATGTGTTACTCTTCTGCTCTGGGATTGTGCACACAAGTGTTACTCTGTGTGTGCGTGTCTGTGTCTGTATGGCAGCAGATGTAGCTAATTAAAGTAATCTCACACTTTTCCTGTGAAACTCAGCTCCACACCTCACTTCAGCAGAGCAACTACCAGTGTTGGGGGAAGTGAGGGTTAAACTGCAGCTCATCATGATCATCGTTATCATTATCATCATCATCACTGTGATCCTCAATACCTTTTTACATGAGTAAGGCTACATTACACCCACATAAGACGGTAATTCTTTTATTTACAGTCCACAAAGTTCTAGGTATTAACCCGGTATGTGTGAGGTACAAACCCCAATTTGTTAAATACTGTAATTATTTTGGCTAAAATGATTGTAAGTACCAAATCTAACTATATTACATTGAAATGCTTAACAGGTCCTAGCTATTAAAGTGATAAAGAACAATATCTCTAAAATATTTTGAGTAATAATAAATTTCAATATAATACTACATATTAAAGCAGGAAAGTAAATCAGAAAAACCTCCAAGTACTGGGTAAAATATATGGGGTAAAATATATGGAGTAAATTGATGGTACAAAGTACTAGTTTTCTGAAGAAAATGGTAAGGACCCAGAGAAACCACAGTAAGAATTACTGCTTCCTTAGAAATCTTTTCATGCCATAAATCTACCAGGTACTTTTTACTCATCACTTTTTACCTAGACTTATTTCTAACACTCCCCATGTGCTTGGGGTACCAGAAATTCGGACCTGTGACCTAGCCATAGCTGACCTGGAGCTGGATTGGGATTTGATTTGAAAAAATATATTGTTTTCATCTAAAATATTGCTCATCAGGTGGTAAACTATGCACACAGACTTGATATAACCCCACTGATAAACTTTTCTTTAAATGCTCTTCAGATGCTCTCAGAACATTTGTTCATGTTTTCTGGCAGTACCCCCTGTAAAGCATCCCTGGGAGACAACAGCTTCCTTGCTCTCTTTTCTACTAGAAGTAGATCTGCCTTTATATCCAGCCTTGTTTCTGCTCAGAGATGATTCAGTACTTAACTTGAAACCTTGTCAAAAGAAAAAAGTATTGGCTTCTCTGACAGAAGCGAAAAAAGCAATTTTGAAATTTCGTGCAGAACCGAGCGTGCACTTAAGATCTACACTTTTGCTCTGTTTTATAGATGTCCTGGTACTGATACTGGCTTCTGCAAAACTGAATCGAGCAAAGGTTGATACTGTGGTCGCTTGGTCTGCAGCAGTTGACGTTGTCAAAAAGGTTTGGGACAAGACCTTGTCTAGTTGAAATGATTTGATTGTGCGTCTTTGTGTGTCTATTTGTCTTTTGGGTTATTATTTTTGTACTGAAAATGTTTCATAAAAATATCCCCCCCCCAAAAAAAAAACACTTAGCATTTTGGAGTTTGAACCTCACTTTTACCTGGTTAATATGTGGTGTTTAAATGAATAGTTTGGTAAAAAATCTAATTTTCATGATTTTCCACTATATAATATCAGTATGAGGTGTTGTGTTCAGTTTCACAAAACAAGAACAAAGATATCAATGGGTTGTCTGGTACATTGCCACCGATTTCCTACTGATGCAGACACAGGCATATCTCCATATATGTGGTAATACATTTTTTCCTGACGATTACAAGGAAGGTCTCCAGCAGGATATTCTAAAATCTACAGCTGTACCAAGTGAATTTTTATCAAGTAAACTTTTTCCCTGCCTTTGTTGTGCTCACTTACTGTCATGCCATATGTAGCTAAGAGGACAAGGCTGAAGTTGGAGTCTTATTCAGCAGCTCCTTATTTGAATTTTCTGATCCACATTAAATGGTGCAGCAGTTACAGTCTGGCACCTACAGGCACTACAATCCAACTGCCTGAGGTGCCACAATGTAACAGCTGCACTATTCCATCCAGGTGGAATGGAAAATTTGAATAAGAACCTGTCTTAAGCTTCGCTCTAAAAGGTGGGTCCGGGGAGTCACTGGTGGGTCCAGCATTCAACTGACACATTTCTTCATGTGTATATTCAGGGTCAAACATGTACGGTTGAGGCTCATTTGTGCAGAAAATGTGCTAATGTTGTAATCAGACATTGTACACTCACTTAGCTTCTGTACCTATGTTAGCCTATGGTGTAAATTCATTGAGAATTCCTTTAGCTCTGTCTTTGGTTGTCTTGCATGGAATGATGCTACGGAAAGAAACGATTCCAGCTATCCTAAATGGCTTTTAGCTACACCAGGGGCGTCCAAAGTCTGGCCCCAAATGCGGCCCAATTGGCCCATGGCTTCTGTTTTAGAGTGTGTTATAAGTGGCCCGCCTGCCAGTACATTGGAGTTTATTCTTTCACCTGATGGTGGCAGCAGCACCATTAAATTACAAGTTAGCTGAAGTTTAAGAGCCTTTCCTCTCTGAATACACCTGCAGACTCATTTACTGTACGAAATTTAGTCAAGACTACAGCCATAAAGCACATACTTTACTCTGAGAAGTGGCGATTTTGGAGAGATGGACATTTAAATACTTTTTTATTGTGAGCCACAGCAAATGCATGTGGCTCATATGTCAAAAGACTGTAATGAATTCAAAATCAACAGACATGAAGCAAAACATGGACATTACAATAAATATTCAGGAAAGAAACTAAAGCAACTTGCATGCCACCAACTTTTTATCAGCGCAAATTCAGTGGTTAATACTTAATCCTTTAAGGCTGAACAAAAAAATGTGTGTATTTCTATTTAGTTTGCCTCACAAATTATATTTTTGAATAAGTAAACAGTTGAATAGGAATATAATTAATACATTAGACATGTTTTGTTGTTAGTCTTAAACAATTTAATTATGTGTTATAAGTGTTTACTGATCCAAAAAAAGAAGCCTTCTGCATCTTTTATACAATGATAGGAAACCTGGTATCACATAGACAGCTCACATTAATATTTGGAAAATGTAATATTTTGAATCATTTGTGAATAATATTTTGGCCCACATGGATTTTGACACAGCATGATCTGGCCTTCTTTGAAAAATGTTTGGACGCCCCTGAGCTACATGGATAGTGGATGGCTTACAGTGAGTCATGCTGTGCACTAAACCACATCGACTTGTCTGCGCTAGCTGAATTAAGACCTGGATGTGGTTTGAGTCAAATACAAGTTTTGGGCTTGTA